CTGGCGTACTCCCAGGCCTGGTGACACAGGCGATGCTAAAGCAGCAAGGGGGAAAATGCACTTATCTGAGAACGAAACCACCGAGACGCCCCTCGGCGCTGCTGCTCTCCCAGGAGCTGCAGCTGGTCTGCAAGCTATGGGCAGGGAAGCCTCTCCACCAGAGGTACGCCAAGCTCCCGCTACCATTCACAGCTCCGGAGAGGGATCGTCAGTGCTCACAGCGGCCGGGGCAGCTTGCACCCAGTGACCCACACCCGAACTCCCGACGGGACTCTGACATTTGCTCCAACAACTCTTTATTGGACAAAAGCGTATGCAGGTGGAGGGTGACCCACCGCACACACACGGCACACACCATGGACACCAGGAACCCCTTGGGTGCTTGGCTCCGCACCGAGCAGTGCCCAAGGCGGCTGCTGGGGACAGAGAGTCCCACTGCCACCTCGTGGGTACGGGACGCATCGCCTCCTCCCCGCGAAACCCCAGGGCCTGCTGGAGAACAGAACCCGGAGAAACCTCGAAGTACCTGCCTTGGAGGGAGGAGGGAAGTCCACACATACCAGAGCTAGAGGCATCACGAATTAATCTGATGCTTCCCAGCCTGTCTCCATCCCTGCTCCCCAGGCTGACTGAGAAGAGGACGCTGCCACACAGGGCACGTGTCTGGCTGCTGTCACTGGACTGAGGGAAGAGCAGAAGGACTCACTGCCAACAGGCCAGGACCTGGTCTCACCAAGGTGAACCCCAGCACCCTTTGAAGGCACTGGCTCTTCAGGGACAGAGCCTTGGGAACTGAAATATCGGTCCCGTGCAGAAGACTCACGGGTGAGGCAAACCCATTAATTCCCTTCTCCTCCTGGTTAGCACCAGGTTGTTAAGACTTCTGTTCATTTTCAGTGGAATGGGCCACAGACAATGAAAACTCTGCTTCAGTGTGCAGTCAGAGAAATAAGGAAGCTACAAATCTCCCCCACAGAGGGAATGAAGCAGTGAGCAACTCCTCATGGCTTTGAGAATCCAGCCTACCGCAACTCCCCAAAGGAGGTCTGGAAACAGCACTATTGCTGAAACCCCTCCAGGTCTAGGGCATCCCACCCCATAGATACAGAGCTGGTTCCGCTCTCTGCCTGCTGTTGAGCCTGCAGCTCCAGTTTGCACCGGCATAGTAAGGGGAAGGCCCTCGATCTCTCATGCCCTGCAGCACCTCCCTCTCTGCGTCTCTGATCCTGGCCAGAGAGCACGCGCACAGAGGGAGGGAGGGAGAGTTGCCTTTCCGCACACCTGTGTAGCATCCTTGGCACAGCCCCGGCTGACATGAGACGGGCACTGTGGGGCAACATGCAGTGCCAGGCTCCTGCATTCGGGACTTTTAACGACCCAAGCAGTGGATGGACAAATTGAGCTCTGCCCTCCTGAGCTGCCAACGAGGCTGAAGCCAGGTCTGAGCTAGATCCAAAGGAGGAAGAGAGTCTTAAAAGTCCATCTGGGAAAGGTGTTCTTGGGCCCCATGCCAAGGCCAGAGCGAATTCACGCTGTCTCCCTTTGGTCTGCAAATCTGCAGTCTCCATGTCAGGGAGCAGAGGAGATTCATCAGAGTCCTGCACAACTCCAGGAAAGCAGCAGTGAAGAAGGAACATCCCTTTGATGCCCCTTTCTTGGCTGCTGGGGTGGGAAACATCACTCCTGAGCTTTAGTCTTATTTTTCTGCTTCCATATTTTGGACAAGCGGAACTTGTTCTTCTTCTTCTCCGACTCCTGGCTCTCTAGAGATCCATCTGCAGAACGAGCAGACACAGAGTAGGTTGAGACCCACAGCCCCAGTGCCACCTAGAGCTGCTCCAGAAGAGCAGAAGGGGCCCTTACCCAACCTCTGGATCATGTCTGCCAACATCTGGTCCTCCTCTTGTTCTCTGTAATGGAACAGCACGGCATTAGAAAACTTTGCTGTGTTTTATGACAAGGTGGTAGACACCGAAAGACAACGTAAAAGGTTACTGTTATTCCCCCAGTCAGAAATCACCGACCTCCATAGCACACCCCAAGAAGGCTGCAGGAAAAAAACAGTTAGAGGAGTCCTAGGCATTAGCAAATCGCATCCGGTTGCCTTGAAAGCAAGGGCCTGTGTGGGGATTTCCAGACCGTGGCAGTCCAGCACTGCAGCAGGGAGGCCCTTCTCCCAGCTGGCCTATGAATCATTCGAGACAGCACCACACCCAAGGAGATGAACAAAGGTTGAGACACCGGTAGCCTGGGGTGCTGCAGAGGTGCTCACATCACAGTCACAAACACACACATTGCTATTTCCTCGTGCCTGGGCAAGTCCAGAGCCAAAAGCCTGGGCATTACTAGAATCCTCTAGCTGGAGTCAGTGCCCTAAGGTCAAGAAACAGAGGCTGCTCTCAGCAACAGGAGGCACAAATCCAGCTACTTGACACAGCAGTCTTCTTTTGAACTTGGGGAGGATCCAACTCTTGGCCACAGTTGTTCTTTCACTTGCTGCAGCAGATGAACACACTCCTGGCTTCACGTTCCCAGAGTACTCCTGCGGGTCCCGTGCTGCCTCCCTCCTCCCCGTCTCCAGCCTCTCCTTCTCTTCTCCTTGTCTTCTACATTTTCACAGCCCTTGTCCTCAGAGCAGCATTAGCCTGAGAGAGCACCGAACATGGCTGCGGTTCTGATTTCGGTTTCTAACAGCTGCTAAGAAAGCAACGGCAGCAGCATTTAGGACAAGCTGGTTGGTGACAGGTCACCACCCACCTCTCATGGAGCAGAACTCTGGATTACAGCCATTCATCCACCCCCACAGCCTGGGCAGTGGAGGAAATACAATGGAAATCATCCCTGGTGTTGGCTCATCTCCCACCACCCAAAGGCCCTCACCTGAGTCTGTCCTCATCCAGGCACTCCACAATATTATTCCGATCATTGACTGTGTTCAGGTATGACTCCAGCAGCTCCTTCTCTCGCTCCTTCTCCCTGGGTGTCTTTGCTTCCTCTGCACAAGACAAGGGAAGTCCATCTCACAGCTACAGGTGAGTACCTCCCCGCTGTGGCTCCTGCGTCCACCCTGCTCCAGCAAGTCCCTCTCACAGGCTCATCTTTTATCATCCTCACACTCAGGAGCACATCTTACGTGCCCTCAGAAAGCGCGGGTGGGTTGGATGTTACAGGGAGTCTGCACCTGACAGCTCAACAGTGCAGCAGTCAGGAGAGATCCCCCAGTGAAACTGTGATCCCTGGCAGTGTCATTCAGATCTGAAGGACATCCCAGGGCTGGTGTGCAGAGCTGAGGACTCCACACACCCAGGGGCCAGCAGGACTCTCTGTCCAGCTGGTCCTTACCTGGCTTGTTCATGAGGTGTCGGAGCTCTGTCTCAATGTTCCACTGCTGCTCCTCCAGCTTCTGCTGTTTCATCCTGGAAGGAACCACAGAAGTGAAGAGTTACTGCCGCTCCATGCCCCAGGGCTGGACCCTTTTCACATCATGCTAAAGCCTCATCTCTGCATTGCCAACCACCTGGGTATGGGCTGGTGGATCGGGGGAAATCTTCCTCCATCATCTTTGCAAGGTTTCCCACCCCATAAGCTCATCACAGACCCTGGGTGCTCGAAGGCCCATCAGCTAATACATCAGGATGCCGCAGTTCTCCCAGAGATCCTCAAGCCTTCCTCATCCCACCAACTGGCACTTCATTTTTTGGGGCTGCCACGCTCCCTCTCCTTCACTGCTTACAGGCGAAGTGCAGAAGCAGATGGGTGAATTTCTGGTTGTACTTACTTGTACATCAGCTCCGATTCTTGTCTGAGCAGCAGCTGTTTCTCATGGATCAGTTTGAACCAGTCCACCATGAGGGCATCCTCAGACTCGTCTGCAAAGGAGACAACAGGTAAGACTCCTTCAGAAGCTGCATCAGTTCAGTCTCTCCGGCTTAAACACACAATCATTTGAGGGAGAGCCTGAGATTACTTATATAAGCCATAGGCAACCTCAAGGGAAAACAGCTCATCTTTGGTATTCCTGGGTACAAGGGAAAGGCCACCGATCATTCCCTGCAGATTCAAGGGAGCTGCTCACAGATATTCTGCCACAGGGCACCCAGCTCGTGTTCCACGTGGCCAGCCCAACTCTGGCATTCTGAATGAACTCACTCAGCCCTGTGGAACTGGAGCCAGCCAGGACAGCCAGGCTGGCTGGGGAAGCAAAAATGGGGGACCGGGGCCCGGCAAGGCCAGCCAGTCTGGCTTGGGAAGCAAAAGCCAGATCAACGGCAGCCTTCCACTCCCAAAACTGCCTGATCTTCAGCCAAATAAACACAAGACCTTGCTCAAATAACAGGTTAGGGAACAGCCAAGAGAGGGTTCAAAATTACCAGGGCTTTATCTTGCTATGCCAGATACCTTTGGCAACCTGGTGTCTCACAGGTAGCATGAGCTCCTAGAAATGGAGCCAAGAATGCCCAGGGGTAGGACACGAGCCTCACATTTTCTCACCACAACAGAGCTGACCCCTGGTCATCATTACCTCCCTCACAGCCACGTAGCTGCTTCTCCAGATCCACTCCTTTCAATTCCAGCTCATCCAGCTGCTTCTCGATGTCGCGCACCTTCTCCTGGATTTCCTCCTCGGGGAGGTAGTCTGGGTGCAGCTAGGGAAACAAATGTAGGAACAAATACAGCTTAGTGCCCTCCGACTGCCTGCTGAGGTCACAGCCCTAACGGCGGTGGGAAATGACAGAGGGAGTCCAACTGCAGAGCCATGTCCTGGAAGGGCCATGCCAGCAGAGGTGCAGAGCTGGCTGCTCACAACAGAGCGGCGGCCACTGCAGTGTTACAGCGCTGTGATACATTCGGTGTGAGCGACAACATTTACTCACACTCATTAACCCACAGACATTCCCCCTCCTTTGTTGGGGAAGGCTAAGTCGACCAGAATTTTGTTTGGCTTTGTCTTATTCCAGCCTCTATCATCTCCCTGCATGGGAGATAACCTGCAGTCTCTCCATCTTGTCTCTGCCCCAGACCCTTTCATGCTTTCCCTGGGAACTCAAACAAACCCTCCCAAGAAGACAAAGTGAGACATCTCTGGGCAAGCACTCCAGCAGGATACCCAGCAACCCCAGCCTGTTCCCCTTACACCTGATTTCCAGCCATACCTTGGTTGGGGACACAACTTCAGGGCTCTGGGTGCTTTTCGGAGCAGTGGGTTTAACTAGAAGGAAGAAAAAACCCCAAAACCGTCACAACAAACTTTAAATATTTTTGTGGTGTGTGACCGTGCCTACACCACCACAGAGCACAACAGGTCCCTGCCACCCAACAGAAGGCCCTGACGACACACACGCATGGGCATGCTAGACTGAGAGCTGTGTCCACAGGAAACAGCACCGCCTGATATACTCCTCGCGGCTGGACACGCAGGTACCCTCTGGTCCGATGCTGCTTGCATCCCCAGGGCATAGGCAGTCACCTAACTCAGGTGTGACTTGGGAGCTTGCACCCGAGAGTATTGACTTCCATGTTCATTCACTATCTTGTTAAAAGATACTTACTGCGGCAAAAGCCACCCCTTAGTAAGCTTCCAAAGCACAGTACAGAAATACTGGGTTACTGCCACAGGAAACACCAGGACATATTTAAAAATGCCCCTCTAAGTGCTCTTGTACGAAGAAGCATCAGTAAATAGTGATGAAACAAAGATGGTCTAGGGGACCTTAGCACAAGCCTCAGGAAACTAAGGTTCAATTCCTTCCACAAAACACTTTCTAGGTGAGAAGTCCCTTAGGCCCTGCTACACAGCATTATTTAGGCCCTGGACACCTATTAAAATCAATCTTTAAGCAATGTGTGTTTGTTCCACTGTGCCTCGGCTTCCTCTGCCCAACTGTGCTGCAAGGATAACTACAGCAGAGTGTGAGGTATTCGGATACCCGAGGGGCTGGGCTGGATAATTACCGCAGAGAGAGAACAGAGGCATACGTGGATGTGATAGGAAGGAAAACTCTAGCATCAAAAGAGCAGGGCTGTAAGAAAGGCAGCAGCGGTGCAGGCTCAGCACACACACTCTGGCAATTGGCGCTGACTCGAGGAAGAGCTCAAGGACAGCTCTCCAATTGCCCAGTCCTTCCTCTATTGCATTTGCTAGGAAGAGTGCAAGAGGAGAAGACAATGGATGTGGCAACCATCTGTGTTGTCTCTGCACTGCTGGCCTCCATCAAGTATCTCTTCCCTCTGGATGCTGCTGGTCTGCTGCCTTGTACGCTACCTCTGACTCACACTTCTCTTTAAGGTTCCTCCAAGAGGGACCTGGCCTGCCACGGGCAGTCTGCTGCTGCTGCCCAAGCAACACCTCCCTCTCCCAGCTCAGCCCTGCATCTCCAGGCTCCTCACGGATGATCTTTGCAGCATCTCCAATCAAGGCAGAAAGCTGCAGCACTGATCTGCTCTCCTGACCAGCTCAGGGTCTGATATCCCCTGAAACCTTCAAGTTCTGTCTTGACAGACACAAGATGGGTTGGCTGCTTGCCTGCAAACTGGAAGTAGGACAGTTGGCAAGAAAATCCTGGAGCCTCCTTTCTCAACAGAAAACACTACTTACGCCAAAGAAAACTAATGATCTACAGAAATGCTCGCCGTCCACAGCCCCACGCAACACACACCGGATTACGGGCAGGAATGGCAGCCGACTGCTCACAGCAGCTCTCCGAGCGCTGAGGCAAAGACCTATGCAGAGGCGCAACAAGTCTGTCCTTCACCCACAGGCTGCCAAGCGACAGCAGCGAGAGAACAGCCTTTCAGATGGCAGACTTGCACGCAGGTGAAAAATGGGGGGAGGCTGCTGGGAAAGTTTCCCATAGCGGGCACTTCCCAACAGCAATCATTAGCTTTAGAAAGACAGATGTAAAACCAGCCTCCCTTATCTTAACAGCTCGCTTCCTGGGGAAGATGTAATGCTGAACCTTGTGGCTGAGTCTGAGGAAAGAGGAGATGGAAAGTTTTGTGAAAATGATGGCAGTGGAGACATGCGAAACTTTTAAAATAGACAGCACAGTAGGAGTTTGAATGCTTTGTAGCTGTTGGAGGTGCAGGCTAAGGACAATGCTGGAACCATCTAACAAACACTAAAGCATGAGGCCACTGAACCATCGGGACCCACCCTGCTTGCTCTGAGACAAACATCAGAGCTCTGCTGCGAGGATCTGCTAGTCCAAACAGGTGAGACAGAGCCAGATGGGGTAAGGAAAGGGGAGAACAAACAAGCCAAGCAAACATCAGGTCAGTTCCAGGAAACTTCATTTGCATTGTGGTAGGACACGTAGCAGCAAGGACAACTGGGCAAAGGAGAAGAGGTACACAGTAAAGCTGTGGTTGAACATACAGGAGTAAGAAACTGGATTAAGGGTAGGACAAACTGGTCAGAACTGGTCAGGACATCTTTGAAAGTCCAAGAAGCAGCAGCCTTGGCTGTTGCTACTGTGGGTCCTGCCAGCTAGAGTCTCTGGCTGACCGTTCTCTGCATTCCTTCTATTTCCCAAAGCTGAGTACTGGAGATGAACAGAGACATCTACCAGATCCCAGTTCCCTGAATTAGGAGATGGTCCTCTTCATAGCTTTGAGTCTAAAGAATGACAGGGCAGTGACCTTGATAAATCCCTATTTTAACTTCTTCACTTCCCACAGAATTCTCTGGCCTGCCTAGTTTCTGCTTATGCCAAGCTGGCTAATAAAAATTAATGACACAGATTTTTTCCCCATGACAACAGCCACAAGCTTAGCCACAGAAAGCTCGGGGACACATCTCCCATATGGACCACACAGGCTGTTCCCTGACAGTGCAGAGGAAAGAATGCCTCTAAGCATGCAGAAGAGACCTTACCTGTGATAGTGCTTTTCTTCAGTTGGTTGCCCTCTTCCTCCTTCTTTGCAGAGCCCCCAGGGTCTTCCCAGCCTTGCTTTGAGTTCTGACAGCTCCTGATAAGATCTGCACTGGGGATCAACTTCTTCTTTGTGAATCCACCAGATGAAGCTGGATTAAGAAGCACAGACAGATTCTGGGCAAGAAATTTCCACACTCATCTCATAAAAATCCCTTTATTGCCCAGCATCTCTAGCATTCACCACTAGCCACTTTCATTTCTAGTCTTAGTTTTCCTCTCTTGACTACAAAGAGGGGCACAAGCCCAAAGGAAACGGGGAGAAACCACTGATTACAAGGCCAGAGTACGAGAGAAGGGTGGAGAAAAAGAATAAATGGTTGGGAACCACCACCAAGATTTCTCACCATTACACATTTATGCAAGAGAGGGTAAGCTAAATCTTGCTAGCTGTCTTGCAGAAGGACACCCTGTGAAGACTGAGTCCCTCTCCCTAGGGAAGGATGGCTCTCCAAATAAAGGCGCCACAGGGCCGAAGTAGGTGCAGAGAGCAAAAATCCCTGGAAGCAAGGCACTAACTCCACCATGTTCCTTATTTGTACCTTGCAGCACTAATGCCTGTCCCCTGCCTGACCAGTAAAATGAAGGCAAAGCTTATATCCTTCATACCAGAGTTCTGCTTTGCTGATGGAACAACTAATGGACTTGGCTTTGTCTCCTTGAGCGCTGGGCTCCCTGTTCCCACCTGGGAGTTATCAGTAGGTTTCTTAGAGCCACCTTGGTCTCTGCAAAGAAGAAAGACAAAGGTAGGAAACCATCCCTCTTGCAGAACCATCCACAGGAAGAGTTCTGGACATCCTGGGCTGGATCTTCATCTGGGATGGTCACGCTTTTCTAATCTGAGTCCAGCAATTTGAAATACGCTTTCCCTCCCCAGAAATGAAAGCCTTTGCCTTTCCCATCAAATTGCTGAAAACAGAAGCAAACACAGGAGCTCTTCCCTCCTATGTACACACAGACCTGCAGCAACAAACACAGCTGCAGGCTCCAAGACACTCACTTGTTGGCTACAGGCTTCAACCGAGATCTCCACTCTGCTGGGCTCTCAGACTTGTCTTCACTAACATTTGTGCTTCCTAAAGAAAGGGACATAGCAGGATAATATCAGATCCAATAAAAAGAAACAAGTCATATTTGAGTCTCATGAGGATCTGAGGAGATAAGCCATGCACTGGGGCTTATCTGCTGTTATTGCAGCAATCAGCACCAGTTCCACAAGTTTAACATGGACAGATTCACACACAATGGGTAGTAAATAACCTTGGTGGCATTTTGCCCCTTGCAGCTCAAATGCTTTAAAACCTACGCGGCTACAGAAATACAGCAGTTAAAATGAACATGCATATTCAACAGGCAATATAACACAAACAGCTCAGATCTCAGAGACTACAGGATGAGGCAGGAAGGGGGAGAGACAAAAACCCCACAAGCTCACAGCAAACTGCAGGCAGATACTGCTTCTAGCCCAAAAAAAGCCAGGTCATCTGGAAGTGGTTGAGACACTGGGTACCCCCAGAACATCATCCCTGAGCCCACTGCTCAGTCACCATGGTGGAAGCTATTCAAAACAGACATGGAGGCTAGGGGAGCCCAACTGCAACCACAAAATCATCCTGAAGTTCTGGCACGGTCTCCCACCTGGGAAAGTCTACCTAAGCCTCTGAACTCCACCACTATCCCAACGTTTGATGACAGCTAGTACAATTTCAGATACCTGGCGATCCTCAGAGAAGAAAAACTCACCATGCTACAGGGAGCAATTGCACAGGGAAAAATGGAGGTGTGTTGAGCCCCAGAACTCAGAAAACTCTTATGTGGTGGGTAAACACAGAAAGTACAGGTGTCACTGACACATTCATTGTACTGGTCCAAGAGAAAAGCATCAAGTCAGCATGCTGTGTCCAGGCAGAGCTGTATGTGAACCAGTCACCCTCACCTTTGATGCCTTTCGACTCTGGCTTGTGCACAGAATCAGCAGGTTTGCTGGCAGCCTGGCTCTTGGGCAGAGGGTCTGTAATCTTTTCCTGTTTTAGTGCTGTGTACCCTGTTTTGTTGGACTGTCCTTTTGGAGCTGGACTCTGCCATTGAGAACTGGTGGGAGAAAACTTGCCACTGCAAAAAAGAACAAACTAGTGAGTCTTTTTGAAAGGACAGACCTTTTTATTGGCCTCTGTTCCAAAGACTTGGATGAGTCCCTCTACATGCCTTTAAATCTCAGCCACAAAAGCCATCAGGGAAAAGGGAAGAAAGATGCAGGGACTTCTCCAAGTTATCCTAAGGATTATCTTGGGAGTAAAGGGGGAAACAGAAATAGCACTTACCTGCTGGATGCTGAGGAGCCAGTGGAACTGAGTCCTCCTGGCCTGTTCGGAGAGGTGTTTGATCCAGCCAGAGCCTGTATAATATGGTTACGTGCCCGATCCTTCTCAGCATGCACTGGACCGACCTCAGCAGTGGTTCTGGCAGAGGCAGTTTTACCGTGAGAAGAAGGGACTTGTTTTTTAGTGTCAGAGGTTTTATTGCTGGTGGAGTCTAACGACCAAAAAAAATTTTCTCGGGCCTGCTGTGTCTTTGTTGTGGAGGTTGTCCAAAGAGGCCCTGAGGGGGTACCTTCATGGTGATCTGTCCGATTTCCCAGCGGGGTACCTTTGCAGTCATCTGGTTTATTTACAGCTGAAGAGGACCATGGAGTATTTGCAGTTTTGAAGCGAAAGCTTTCAGAAGATGAAACAGATGGCTTGGTTGAATTAGTAAGGCCTTCCTGGCTGGGTTTCTTCAACACCTGCTCCGGTTTCTTGGGTTCTGCTGCTTTCTGGAATGCCCTGGCACTGGTAGGGGCTGGGGTGCTCTCAGGTTTGCTCCCGGTGCTGTGGAGACCAGAGATCTGGACATTGTCTGGCTGCTGGTGGCTGGGACAGAAAAACGTACCAGGCTCAGGCCCAACTCTGTAGCTTCCAGGAAGAAGCACGTTCCAACACTGCCTGCACCTGTGGATACAAAAGTCTCAGAAACACGCTCCAGAGCTCTGGGTGGCCATTGCCACACAGCTAAGAGTACAGGTACAACTCCACCGCCAGCACAGGCAAGGCGAAGGCACCACACTGGCAGTGAGCAGACCCCACGCGCGCATTCCTCAGGCACCGAAACAGGAGCTGCTGATACCACGGCCCGAAGTAGGGAAGGTGTGGATGAAAACAGACCCACGTGAAGAGTTTCCCCTGCGCACAGGTCAAGAGCAGGCCCAGGCTGCCTCCACTCTGACACCAATGTCCTCTAACACCTTGAGTGCCTCACACCGCTCTCCCTCCAGTCCCAAAGGAACCGGGCTGCTCATCTGCGAGGCCCCGCTTTGAAGAGCTGTACCTGAAGCAGTTTCTGTGATAGAGCTTCCCGTCGACCAAGTAGCGCTGCACGAGGTGCACGTGGCTCCCGCAGACTCCACAGCTGCTGCTAGGGATGTTCCTGCTCTCCGCCAGGACCCCTCTCTGTGGGGAAACGCAGTGGGTGAGCAGGCAGCACGGATCTCCCAGGCAGGAGAGAGTTCGACTGCACAGCCACTTGGCTAGGGCAGAGAAGTGATATCCAGAAAATCCCTGCTCCCGCTAACCCCTAGTTGATATGAACAGCCCTTGGCAGGACAGAGTAAGGGATACTCAATCCCACAAAGTCAGAGGACCAGGGTGTTTTGTCTGTCTGTGGGGAACTAAAGTGCAAAGGTCTCCGATTTGAATTAGCTGGGAAAGGTCCTTAATCCACTGAGACAGGAGCTTCCCTTCTTCCACCCTGTTTTTGTCCCTACTCCGCTTTGAAATTGTTTCCAAGAATTTAACCAATGTTTTCCAGCAAAAATAATATCTTCTGTTAAAAATCTCCATCACCAAGGTCTAGGCACAGGATAGCCATGTCCTAAGGCATCCATGCCCTATTCAACCATCAGATAAATCGCAGCTGACTGACTGCCTTCCAATGACTCCCACCTGAATCTGCACAGTAACCAGACCTCTGGATTAAATCCCCCACAGTGAGCAGAAAATTTAGAGACTAAGTCCTTACCACTACAAGCCTTGAACCAGCATAATACTCTCCAGCTCACTGAATAGATTTAAGGTTTAAAGAACACCCCAAAACACATTTCTTACCGTGGTGGCTGGGGAGGTTTCTTTTGGCTTAGCTCTGGCTGGTGGGTGGGCAGGAGGCAGTTTTGGTGGCACTGGCTTAGGAGGCTCTGAAACAGCTTTCTTCCCAAGAGGCTGCTCCTGAGGTTCAGAGGAAGGACGCTTGATTCCAGCCATGCCTCCAACTGGAAGAAAAGAAGAAGGACAGATTTTAAGGTAACATAAGGAAAAGCCATGAGCATAGGAGTCATTTACAATATACGAAGATCCAGAGGTGCCTGATGGATAACATGCAAAGCACAAGGGGACACAGGCTTCCTTCACAAGCAGTTCTGCAGGGGAGTGAGGAGCAAGAAGCAACAAGTGAATTTTACCAACATACGCTGGAATCATCTGGTAGTGAAACTGCTGATTTTTCTTCTTCTCAGGGAATTCCACAGAAAGGAATGAAAAAGTGGAAAAAAAACAAAACACCTTTAGTCAACAATGTAAACAAGACCTTGGATTTGTACCCGGGCCCACAGTTTGGCTAGAATTGATCACCACTGAGACAGGCACTGCTGTTCGGTATCACAGCTAAGGAACTCCAGCACGGAGGGTTTGCTTCATTCAGGTTGCTGTGATTCCAGGCTTCCATCACAACCTGAACCTTCACTGCTGTGGGTGTCTACCCCACAGCACAGCTAGGGCTCTCACGGAGCAAATAGGCTCGTCAAATGCAGATATGGCCACTAATGACGGGTAATTCCACAGCAGCAGAGACCTGGAGGTGCCATGGTAGTGCTGATGCAGAAACCAACAGGACTTGCCTCAAGAAGCCTGCAAATGCCCAATCCTCTTTTCTTTGCACATGAAAGAGAAACCCTCTAAATACTCAACTAGCGGAGAAAAGAGCATCCCAAACACACTTCAATCAAGCAAGGAATGATGTCCCGTGCCCTGACAAGTGCAGGGAGGCTTCCCTGGGAAATACGGCTTCACGCACGATTTTTACAGACGAGGCCCCTCATCTGTCTCACAGGGATGTTATTTTTGCGCAGCTTCCTATTGTGAACGAGATGTCTCTGTGTTCCTTGTGGGATATTTGAGCCACAGATTCACTTTAAGAGCTACCAATTAAATGACCACCCGTCTGAAAAGATATTGTACCCTTTTCGGTAAATACGGAGGGAGAGGGAGCCTGGGCAGGGTCTAGGGAGCAGAGAGGAAGCCCAGTTCCCAGCAGTCTTCTCTCAAGAAAGCAAGCTATCCAAATAAACACTCAGGGCTTTTACCGCAGCGACCTGTGGTCTGGTGACAGCCAACCCAGCAAATGGCTTAGACTCGGGCTGCCCCCTCACTTCCCACTTGTGCCATTCACTGAATTCCCAAAGGCCAGCACAAAGACGGGTGGCTTCAGCTCTGCTCTTCTGTAAATGCCTGACCTCAGCAAAATATTGGCTGCTGGCCCTCTTTGGCCTTCTGTGCCCTGCTTACTTCATGGTCCTGCTGGAGCTCATTCGAAGGGCACGACTATGGCATTAGGAGTCTGCTTGGTGTCAGAGGGCACATTCCTGGCCGGGCTCATTTTCAGACACGCACATTCACCCCAGCAACAGGAATGCAACCAGAGTGTTTTGTGGGACACTAGAGAGTATAAAAATGTGCTGTGCTTGATGACGTGGTAGGCAAGATGCTGGGGGGGAGGGAGTAAAGACCCCAAACTGACACAGATTCCCACCACTTGGCACAAACACGATGGAATTTGTTTGACTTCAACCAGCATGGTTGTAAAACACGAAATAAAAAATGAAGAGGGGGGAGGGCAGAAGTTCTGGAGGGAGAGAAAGCATGCTTAAATGTGTAAAGAGGTAGAGAAGGGGGAAGAGTTTACACATTAAAGGCAACTCTCAGAGTGAATTGTGCTTTCTGTCCAAGATGTAGGACATTTTCAACACATCTTTTTTCTCCATCTAGATTCACCTTAACCAGCTAAGTCATTCATGTCCCACTTTCTAAAGTTTCCTCTGGAGGAACCTATGAAATTGGTTTATTGTATTATTTCATTTTGTATGAGCTTAAAGCCAAATATAAACCAAGTCTACAATAATGCTCCTGTGAGCCCAGATAAACTCTCCAGTGAATATATTGCCTTGGCAGCTCTGTGGCCTGCTTTATGTTTGAATGAATTGCTATCACAATTATGCCATTTTCTTCTGCTTCCTTATATCAGTACTACTGTGCTGTACAAGCCCTACCATGGATGTTGTTCCATTGGCACAGCCCCATAGACAAGCTCAGCCTTGTCAGACTGGCTTCTCAGCAGCCCTCCAGTGTCGGAAGGACTGGAACAGGGATGGAGGTGCTCGAAAAGGAAAGATGAGGTGGGAACCACAAAGGGAAACCTTCACTGCTACTGTCTGGCTGAACCATAAGAAATTTTAGATTCTGTATTAAATTTTAAGGCATTAGTCATAAGGCAAGGCACGGCCCTGTGCCCTTCCAAAAGCACTGGTGCTACTGTAGGCCAGTGTGTAAAGAGTTCAGACCCTCCATACAAATAGTTCTGGTACCAAAAGGCCTCTGTGCAGCCTATTTTGCATTTCCAAGCTTGTTAGAAGGCAAGGTAAAGCACAAAATTAAGCCCCGATCCTTCCCACCCCTCCAGGGACCATGGTACTTACTGGGAGACCGTCCGTGGAAGTAGTTATAATACTGGGAAACATAGGTGAGGATGCTCAGCCTGTCTGGTACCCTCAGGGCAACCATATCCTCTGCATCCAGCAAGGCTGGGATCCCCAGCTCCTCCTCCGCCACTCGAAATGCCTAGAGAAGGAAGAAAAAAAAAAAAAAAGGGGGGCTTTGCCAAGCAAGGAAGCGGGCTCCTCAAAAAAAAAAAAAGGAGGGTCTTGTCCAGGCAGTAGAGCTGCTCCTCATCAGAAGTAAGAAACTACTTCAAACAGCCCTACTCGAAAAATAACTCTACTGGGGAACAGCTGCACCAGTTTAACTCCTACATCATACGGCCGTTACAGGAACCAACGGACCCATGGCTTCCAGACACCGCGTTGAGAAATTCAGGCAGGGAGCCAAAAATCTGGCCTGGCAAGCTGGCCGTAGCTCGCTGCACAGGAACTCACCTGGGCTTCCCCTGCTCTTCCTCCAGCCTGCCTCTATCTGCGTATGCACAGCTGCGGAGTCGAGGCCTGGCAGAAGGGGATGTGTCAGTCCAGGCTGGCAGACTCCTTTCCAGGCTTCCAGCCCAAGCCGGCGCACTCCCCAATTAACGGTGCGCTGGTAGGTGTTTGCAGGCAGCTTTCTATCTTCCTGCCTACGACTGCTTGCTCTTCCCCATCTGAAAACGGGGAATTCTTGGGCTGCAGGAGCGAGCTCTAGCTCCCAGACTAGAGAAGGCGAATAGAGGAATAATGCAGAAGAATTCCAGATACCTAGCTCCCTTCCAGCTTAACCATTTCCATGCTGCCTAACATGTATTTGGGGGAAATATTCCTCTTTGCGGTCCTCTGTGCTTTGAAACTGCAGCATCAAAGTCAGATAAAGGAGGAAAAACCTATTTTCTTTTGCCTCTGAACAAGAGCCTTTACTAGAGGACAAAAAAATGCAACACCCATGAAGCAACTTTGCCCTTGCTCAACTCAGCGTAGGGCTTTTACCAGGGACTTTCTACAGCCCTCTTCCTTCCTGGCTTATAGGGAAAAATCCTCTCCCTCCCCCTGTGGAGCATCTCTTTTGAAATGTCAACAAAGCAAAGGAAAACAGCATTTGCAGGAGCAGAGGCACAAGGAAGGCTATTGCTCAACACCCCACAGCGAAAGAGTTAAAGAAAGACTCAAACTTATTAAAATCCTCCGCATCTGACCTCTGGCACAGACACTCAACAGCGTTGGTGTACAAGCCAACTATTCCTGTTTAGAAGAAACAAACAGCCTTTTTTTTTTAGCAAGATAATTACCATTTTTTTCCATTGGGTATCCCAGTAAAAATGTAACTGAGAGGACATTAAGCACGCTTTCAGCCAGTTACCTCCGGCTGCGTCACCCCAGCTGCCAGCCCAGCCTGGCACCCGCCTGTCTCGTAACCTAGTGCTTAATATATTCTTCGGAGTGTTCCCCATTGCACTGGCTGCTCAACTGGTCTGACCAGTGGGGTTTTCTTGCTGGACATTCCCAGTGTGCAGTCTAGTGGGAAGGCAGGCCATGCCACCTCCTGCCAGATGGAGCCACAGGTGAGACCAACAGGCACAGAACAAGTGCAAGGGCTGCTTGGACCACAAAGAGGAGAATGCTCTATGCACACAACTGGTTTGGCCAGGACCAGGTGAGCAATGCAGCGAGCAGCATTAGGAGGCAGCGTCCCCTGCGCCTACAGCATCCTCACGTTCCTGGGAACTGCTCTTGCCTGAAGATCCAACAACATCACCACCTAACATGGCCCAGTTGCCCTTCTCCTCTACCTGCCTGCCCAGGCTGGCCTTTCAAGAAGCAACACGTTATTTCTGCATAACATCAGTGCAGCTCCATGTGCTTTATGAAGGAGGTAAGTGCCACTGCTCCCATTTTGTACAGAGGAGGCAAAGTGATATGCTCAAGGCCATCCGAGCCAGCCAGGCACAGCTTTCCTCTGACACAGGCCACCGCTGCATCAGCTACACCTTGCCACCATCCATTAGCACTGAAACAACTGGATCCAAGACCTCTAGAAACCTTTCTCCTCTTTAGGTATTTATGAAATCTTTAGCAAAAAAACGCCACCAACTGAAATTTTTCTAGGTTTTGGGCTTGGGTTTTTTGGCACTTGAGAAGTGACACATTCTTCCTCGGCAGAAGACCTTATATGGCAAATTGCAGCCCGGACAAGACTTTTTTAGTTGAGTAATACAGCCCCTGAAAAGAAGTTATTGAATAGTGAAGCATCAATGAGGGTCTGAACAACAGCTGAGGAACAGTGCTGGGAGAAATCAGACCCACTCATATCCCAAGGGCAGCCAGAGGAAGAAAGCGTAGGAGCTAGGACTGAGAGCAGTCCGAGGGGGAGGCCAGACCCAGAGCCCACAGGGAGATGGAGGGGTCCACCCCACTCACAGCAGAGCCAAGGCAGCAGGACACCAGCAGAGAAAGGGCAACACAGACAAGTCATCCTACAGCAGGTGGAATAAGGAAGAGAGAGCGAAACGAAGGACATAAAAGAAACAAAGAAATGGAGGAGGGGGGGAACACAGGCTGCGACAAAGGAGCAGAGCAACTCTTTTTATGAGAGACACAGAGAAGCTTCTCATTAATAAAAGCAGCAGAGATGGCTCGTACAGCTCACTTCCCAGAGACAAGCAAAGCTGCCAGCAGAGCAGACACCATTAGCCCAGCGGGAAGGGGGAACACTCAGGGCTCCACAGCACTCTGTCCGGGATGACCATCCACGGCGAAGGGGCCCTGATGCTTGCCAAATACCAAACCCCAAGGGCAAAAACGCTGGGTCTGAATCTCACCTAGAGGAGAGGAACATGCAGGGCTGAACCCTAGAGAGTGTGAATAACTGCTCACATACTGCAGCCCAGTTTGGGAGTGAGGGGTCCGTCACAGGCACTGTGAGCACGGCCAGGGCCGAAGGGGTGCAGAAGCTAAGGAGCGTGGTGGGGCAAGTTCAGGTCTCCGGAGGCAAGGACCACCTCAGATGGCTCACTGCGTCAGAGGATGTCATTCCTCCAGTCCAGACAAGAGTAAGCTGCCATGGTTCATTCACATCCCAAGCTCCTGCCAAGCAGCCACGAAGCTGTGTGGAGTGATATCAAGGGAAAAAAAGCATTTCAATCCACTGCCTCTCTTTTTGCGAAGGAGAGAGAGAGGAGAAAATCCTTCCTCAGAGCACTAAGCCCATGCTTGAATCCAGTGCACGAGAGGGTTGGCCTGCCCAACTTCTACTTTCTTCATGGAGAGAACAACAGAAACTCCAAACCCATCCTGGAGTGAAGTGTGAGGCAGGATGAGATTTTAGGACACCTCCACCTTCCAGCAGCCTTCATCCCCTGCACTGGGAATGAGCAGAAGTGGGGAAGACTCCCTACGCTTTCCCTCTCACATCAGCTACCTCCTGGTCCATCCCTTAGGATCATCAGGTATTCAACATGTCCATGTCTTGACCCCCACCATCTCTGTCCAAATTCCTGCAGCCAGAGGACACACTGGACACAGGCATTGCTGTGCAGCCAGAGAAGAAGTGTGAGCAGTCTGAGGGTGCTTTCAAGCAGCCAGCAAGCCTGGACATTGTTGTTCAAATCAGAAGGTTGGATGCATGCAGAATAAGGCACAGGATTTGAATACAGCACACTCAGCACACTGCGTCTGCAGGGTTTCTGTCACTAAACCACAAAAGCAAGGTGCCAGGTCATAGACCAGACCAAAAGTAAAACATTAAAAGTCACTTACCAACTTGTTGTTCTCATACACATTTTCTTTACTGAGGGAGTTGAAGTTTCTGAAATAACAGAAAGAAGAGAAAAATCTCAGGTTGGTGATGCAGAGCAAGCTGCTTCACTTCCAGCTTCTCGAACCTCTCTGAGCCTCACTGGTCTGGGGGACAGAGCACCTCCTCCCACCCTGCCTTCCCCAGATGCTCCAGAGGGAGCGGTGTGGCAGATCCCACCTGAGACAGTCACAGACCTGCTGTACCTCCCAGGACAGAGATGGGCAGGAGAGACCCAGCAGGCACAGCCATCTGCCCACAGGCAGCACAACATATTTTTGGCACATCTACCCTTGCAGGGCCAACCCCCGCAGCCTCCTGCAGATGGGACATGCTGATGTCAAAACATCCCATGCAGATTCAGGAGTTTTGCAGAGACAGCCAGGAGCAACCTCTAACTCATGGGGCAGGCTTTTTCCCCCCAATAAAGCCTTGCTCCTCTCCCACCTCAAAAAGATGCACCAATGCCTGCCAGACAGATCTGCAACACTCTCTCCCTGGAATTACTTTCCAGTCTCATCCAGGCTCTTCTCCCGTCTTGCCAGTTGTCTCCATACAGAGAGGCCTCAGCTCCAAGGAAGCGTGGATCCCTCAGATGCTGCATGTATCGCACGTTTCTCCGACACACCTGTATCTTCTGATCTCAGGAGCCGCTGGTTCCACCAGCACACAAGTTCTCATTTCAAATCCTCTTTTCGCTTCTGGCAGAGCTCCACAAAAACAGCACCAGGAATCTGCCTGGGAAATACCTCAGCCCACAACACAATACTGCGGCTGACACCACCAAAGTTGCCTGTAGGAATCTTATTCTCCTTTCCCTAGGGCTGTCACTTTTGATTTGTAATCATAACCAATAACTGAAAAGGAAGAGACAATAACTCTTTGCAGTTACCAGCCAAAGTCAACAATCCTTCTTCCCTTCTGCTGTCCCTGGACATCACCTCCCTCTTCCCCTCTCTCCAGATCTGCTCTCCCCCTCTCTGGTCCAACCCAGATACCACCCCTCTCTGTGCTGGGAACTCAGAAACTGGGATCTGGCAGGACAGGCAAGAAAGCATGGGGGAGAGTGAGTTTGTACTCCTGGAAGCAGAGCTGCAACACAGTGTGCTTTCTCACCCATAGCAGAGCACATCCCTCGCTTAGGAAACAGCCACCGTCAGCTTTGTTTTAAACTGACTGCCACTTGCTAAACTGGGAATACAAAACCAACTGTTGGCTGGCAGCCCTGCTCTCCAACACTGCTTCCTGCTGCCCAGGCAAGCGGGCAGGGTCAATTCCTTTCCGATAACCCAGCTTCACTTTACAATCCTTCTACCTGCCAGCACAGAGCTAAACAGAAGGCTGGTGACAGAGAGGAAATTCTCGCTGACAAACAAAAAAAGGCCACCGCACCAACGCTGCGTTTTTGTACGTAGCACCTCTGTAAGCGATGTGGACCTGCCCTTGTTAGTCAGTCCCTCACCTCTGAGGAGCCAGGACGACCGTGTGAAGGCAAGGGCAAAGCTGGCTCGCAGCGGCCTATTCATGAGACAAACACACGAGCTGCATCGCAGCAGGGGAACTTTTTCCATGACTTGTAACAGCAAGGAGCAAACCAGGTCCTTCATCTACTTAGTGCAGAAAGTGGAGCGTTACGTTATAAATGAGGCGCCTGCAAACAGCTTTGTCCGTCATGCCGCAGCCTACGCCTCCTCCCTGCTTCCCACAGCTGGCATTGCTATGTGGGATACAGAGAGAACGAACCACAGATAAGACCCAAAGGTCAAACTCCCCCAAGAAGCACGTAAAGACAAGGCACATCGCACCTCTAAATCTTATACTCTCTTCTGTGCAAAATCACAGGGACTTGCAGCGGGTTTATTTCCAGCAGTGCTCCTGCCTGGAGATTTCCCTTCCCTGAGACAATGGATTAAAAAGAGCAACAAAAATAATCACAAGCCAAAAAAAGCTTCAGTGAAACAATAGCTACAATCATCCTGTTTCGTGTCAGGCAAGAAAATAACTTTTTTAAGAGCCAGCTGAGGAGGGGATTGCTGCTCTCTGCCTCACTCCCGGTTCCGCTCCCGAATAAAGTCTCTGTCGCAGGGATATCCTGAAGACAGGAGAACACCTGCAAGAGCAAAGGGGAGCTCCAGCTTCCTCAGTCACCCTGCCACGTAAGACGTAGCACACTGGAGTTACCTATTCATGGTCGGTCAGTTCCTTTTGCCCCCACGCTGAATGCTGTTTGCTATGGCAGCGTGCGTGCAGCTTCACACTGCCTGGCATGGAACAGAGACCTACAAACCTGAATCTCTGACGGTGAATGTCAGAAATTCCCTTCTGTTCCCCAAAGGGGAGTGCAGACATCCAAGTTACCTGGTCATTTCTACAGCCTCCTGCCCTCTCAGCATCACTCCTTCCCTAGCTAGTCAGGTGAACTGCTTACATATAATATTTTATTTGGAAATTGATCTTGCTGGTGCATCTCCTATTTTGGAATATCAAAGCTCTCTGGACCAATGTAATCCTAAGAAAGCAAAGTTAATACAAACGGAGAAGTAGGGAGTTCTCCACTGAGAAAACACAGGCAACTGAATTAATTGGAGGAGGTGAGAAATACAAATCTGACCCAAGAGAGGGCCTCCACTGTTGGAAACAAATCAGAGTGGAGTTCACTAGCACAGGAATAGAAGTGAAGTTTTTAGCTGCCCAGAAAATCCTTCTCTTAGCAAAAAGCAGCTGAGCATTTCTCATGACCACAAATCCCCGTGACCACCCACTGCTCCAGCTGCACAGACCCAGCGCTCGCAGAGCACGCCGCAGCCCTTTGCAAGCCCATGTGCTTCCCTAGGAGGAATCTCTGCCGCTGGAAGCACCAACTCGGCTGGAAACTTTACCTCAGAGCAGACTGAGCAAAAATACTCCCAGAGCCATGATGGCCTCACAAAGCTTCTGCCTCTCAGCACTGTACTATTTTCTCTAGAGACATTAAGATACGTGCATTCAAAAGGATCACTGAAAAAGAGTGAAGCACCCTTTGCCTGCTCACAGTCCTTGAACAGAGGGTTCAACTCCAGCGTGCTCTGCTGGGAATGGGACCTTTTGGCTGTGCTCCTTCTGGAGGTGCAACCAGCCTGGGGAAGAGGGGACAGGGATGGCAATCCCAGGTGGAAGATGACCGCCATGCGCACGTCCCCCTCTCAGCAATGCCCGCTCCACGCTGCTCCGGTCTCGCTGGTGAGCTGCAGCGTGCTGCTGGGGGTGACTAACGACTGACGAGACCCCATGACCCCAGCACCCTCCTCCCCTCGCCTACGTCTGCCACGCAAAGCACAGCCCTGCGGAGGCCAGGGAAGGCAGCAGCTCTGCTTCACCCCAGCCTTCTGCCAAGGAGATGGAGACTGCGAGCATCCCATCCTCAGCACGGCCAGGGCCCTCCCTGTCCCTGTGGGTGACCCTCAGCCTGCCCTGTCGAGCCGACAGCGGCCCGGGGAATGCTGCTGGAGGAGCGGGAGCAGGCAGCTGGGCAGCCGCCCAGGGGGACCGCCCAGGGGGATTTCACCACCAGTCTGTGCCCAGAACGCCGAGCTGGACACCAGTCTGGGAACGAACAAGTTCCCGGACGAAGAGAATGCACTTAATCAAAACCTTCCCTCGACATCTGGCATTAATACCCAAGTGATTGTGCGCAGCTCCCCTGCTTCTTCTAGCTCACTTCTCAGGCCAAGGCCACTAAAACCGTGGCCGGAGCTCGCACAGCCATTGCCATCACATGTGGCAGGCACAGCACCCCACCCCCCGCCACACCGCCATGAGGCTTCACGTCCCTCTGATGAGAGAAGCCTCAGGGCTCCGCAATCACCCCAGGAAGCGGGCTGGGAAATGCCTGATGCAGCGTGCGTGGCTGGGGCTGGCTGCGAAGCATTCTTCGGCTGGGACGAGAGAGAAATGAATTTCCATGGTAATTCAGCATGCGTCTCCCCTTCCCCAGAGCACCCCTGAGTGAGTGGGAAGTGGGTGGGAAATGCATTTCTAATTTTACACAGCCTTCCCTGTTCACCGATAACATAAACACTGACATCAACCGATTTTGAGAGGAGTTATCGTATTTTCCATATGGTTTTCCAGCAAGAAAACAGCAAGAGAGGAGAGACCCACAACAGCCTGTCCTCTGACCCACGTACCCAACAAAACAAGCCCATGATTATGACTATGTTTTGTAATTGCTTAAAGCATTCCCGGGAATTTCTCAGGCTCCTGCAAGGAGAAATACCCTGCACTCCTCAGCCAAAGAATGTCATTTGTGTAAACCAGGACGGAAAACACACTGTTGCAAAACTTTGATGCTGTGACTGAATCATGTTCTGTGATTTATACTGCAGAGCCACTGCAAACACACTGAGCGCTCCAAACACCAATTACCCTTTTCTAGTTTTATTTTCAGTATGATGCTTTTAACCTCCAGCTAGGATCCCTGCCAGAAGCAAGGGGAGGAGCTCAGGATAAACCACTTCAAGCCCTCGGTAAGCAGGAGTCACAGCCACACACGCACCCCACCGCACTTCTCTGCCGGTGGCTCCTGCACCACCAGTGCTCAGAGAAGCTTTTACAGATTCATGGAGAACCTGCACAGGTATTCAGCCCCAGGATCCGACACATGGTTCCTGGCAGCCCTGGCCACCAACGACTCGAAAGCATAATTTCCTTCCAGCAGGACTTTGCCCAGCCAAGGATACACCTGGTGCTTTCCTGCTGCTGAGGGGGGTTCACTGATAAAAGCTGCTCTTACTTTAGCCTTCAAGCAGTCTTTGCTGAGCTGGTCCAAGTCAGAAAGAGCTTCTGTAAGGTCCTGAATAAAGTCAGGCACAATTTCCATCGTAAAAGAAAATGAATGGGAACAGAGAGACGCCACAAGGAACATTTTCTCTCTTCAGCACAGGAGCATTTATTTAAGATATGTCTGTCCACAACTCTTGATGCGCAGTTCAAGGATTATAAACAACCCACTAAACTGGTCAACAGGATTACTG